GAACTAGTAATTCTCAACAACTTTTTAAAGAAACAGCCGAACTAGTAATCCTCAAGAACTTTTTAAAGAAGCAGCCAAACTAGCAATCCTCAACAACTTTTTAAAGAAACAGCCGAACTAGTAATCCTCAAGAACTTTTTAAAGAAGCAGCCAAACTAGCAATCCTCAACAACTTTTTAAAGAAACAGCCGAACTAATAATTATCAACGACTTTTTAAAGAAGCAGCCAAACTAGCAATCCTCAACAACTTTTTAAAGAAGCAGCCAAACTAGCAATCCTCAACAACTTTTTAAAAAAGCTGCCGAACTAGTAATCCTCAACAACTTTTTAAAGAAGCATCCGAACTAGCAATCCTCAACAACTTTTTAAAGAAGCAGCCAAACTAGCAACCCTCAACAACTTTTTAAAGAAACAGCCGAACTAGCAATCCTCAACAACTTTTTAAAGAACCAGCTGAACTAGTAATCCTCAAAAATAATTTAATTTTTACACCAGGAGCTAAAGGTCTGTTTCAGGAAATCACATCCCAATCGGCGGTTGTAGAATTAATCTGTAAAAGAGTTCATACACCGCTAGTTGGCGGTGTTGTGCATATATTGTACATGAATTATTGCCAGCTAGTGTCAAATTGAACTTGCGCTTTAAAATTAGCTTCCTCTAATTTTTCTATGACATGAGCACTTTTGAAGTTGCAACCCTAAATATAATCATACTCGCTTTAGAATTTGCAGAGCTAAGTTTTGCATTAGCGCTGGCCACCACTGGACGACAGTAACATCAGCCGTTAGCACCGTTTCAACCTGCAGGAGCAGCTCCACCTCATCCTCCATCCAAACAAAGCTTCATGTGTTCACCGTGCTGCTGCAGCTGGTTTCATGTCTCCATGTTGTCCTGGACTGAGTCAGTAAAATATAAAAACCACAGCGCCACCTACTGACCCGGCATGTGTCCTCCTCAGGAAACTCCTGAAAACAGAGATTGTTTACATTTAAACAAGGCCCAAATACTGCAGGAAACTGTGAGAAAACACCAGTTTAACTGGGGGTTCAGGCTGTATGTTCAGCAGGACACTTCAGACACCAGGACTGATCGGATCCGACCCGGAACAACGAGGACAGGAAGTTAAAGACCGACGAAAACAAAGTCTGACCCAGATTCAGGCGGAGAAGCTCCTCTCCAATCTCCTCAGAGATAGGACCCTTCATTAACATGCAGGGGTTTGGACCTGTTGCCAGGACAACGGGGGGAGTGTGTGTGTCCTTATGTGTGTGTGTGTGTG